AATCCGGGCTCAGGGTTTAGGTGATGGTCTGTCTCTATAAAATATTGAATATTTTAATTTCAACCGGAGTGGCAAAACGCTGCCCTCTTCAGGATGCACAAAAATCAGAGCCGGGTTTTTTTTTGTTTGGGGGGAGGGGGGAGAAGAAAAAGATGGAAACTCAGATTGGAACAGGGGGTATCCAACAGGGATGTCGCTGTGACAGCGTGATCAAAGCTTGGCTTGTTTTTCGTGTCCCGAGACTGGAAGCAAGCCTTGATGCTTCGGATGTTACTGGCACAGCCCTTACAGCTCACGGTCGCGGTGTGCGCAAGCTGAAGACACACAAAAGCCGTTTCCCAAATCCAAGCGAGCAGTGAAAAGGGAAGACAAGTTGAGAAGGATTTGCCTTCTGATTCTTTTTTTTATATATATAATTGAAAATGACGGAGGTGTCAATGAAAACAAACCGAGAACGGTGACCCAGATGTTCTTTTTAAATCTTGGTGCGGCGTTTAAGTCCTTGGGCCAGATCAGGCCTGGGAGATCCAGAGGAGGCTTTAGCAATTGCCCAGCCAGCTTTATTTTTTTGCCAGTCCTCCGTGGGGACGGCTGGGCAGAAACCCCAAAAAGAGACATTTTGACGTATCAAACCAGCTTCGGTGGACAAAGCCTCAGAAGAACTCTAGGCAACGTAGAGAAAAAAAAAAAAGCCGGGCCCCAAACGAATCAGAGCAAATTTATCCAAAGGAGGTGAGCCTGGAAAAGCAGCTGTTTTTCCCTTCTTCCTCACATCCTGCAACAGGACACTTCTTCTGCCGTCTGTCAAATACATTGGTCCGGTGGCCAACAGACAGTCCATAGTCTGAGGCCGGTGCATGACGGGGACAGCCCAACAAGCTGGGTGTCAAGACTGCTAACATCGGGTGTTCTTGCTTGCCATGTGTGAAGAAGCAAGCATGTTTTATTTAGCCTGCCTATCACTTCTAGAGTTAAAGCAGACAATACTAGCCTAGTGGATGGGAAAATATGCTAGTTAACCATAACAATATTTCAGCACAGCACTGCCAAGGTCAGCTGTAACAGGAGGAGTGGGGGGGGGGGGACAATTCACACTTCACACTAATTGGAGAACGTGATTAATGACTGTAAAATGAAGGAGTTATGCTTTGTTACGGGTGATTGGGGGTGGGAGGTTTCAGTTTTTGGCTTCATTATGTACCTGCCGAAGCTATGTAGCAATAAAAGGATTCTTTAAGGTAAATAAGCCTCAAGGTTCTTTGAAAAGCTGCTTCTTTTCGAAACCATGACACTGGGATCTTCAGAATGCAAATTCAATTCTCATTAAAACCGCCTTGCCCTTGGGCTTGGAAAGGAAGCTAGAAGCTGGGTGGCGAGGGTCTGGTGGGATGGGAAGCTGACTCAGAACCCCAAAATGGGAGGTGATCCTGGCGTGAAATCACAGGTATGAGGATGGATGAACAAGCCCAGTATGAAGAGGAAGCTGGGAAACCATGGTAGCTTGAAAACTGGGGTAGCAAACAAGGCTCCGGTTTCTGGTGCTGTTTCTGGAAGCATCAGGAGAGTCCCCTTCAAACACTGGTGTGTACCAAGTATCCCAACATACATCAGGGGAGCTGTGGGATGCTCTCAACCCCTTGGAAAGGAGCCATCCAAAGCCACCATTGGTTGCTCATCAAAGCACCCGAGCGAACCGTATGGAGTCAACTCTGTCCGCACATTTGTTTGCTTCCGTAATAATCAAGTTACAAAGCTTCGTCCACATAAGCACCGTTGCTCTCGACAGAGAGACGGAGAAAGGCAAAGATTCCAGTTTGGTTTTGTGTCCGTCTCCTTCCACAAAAGACGTGATTGCCCGTCGTTCTGCTCCAAAATATCACCGAGTGGGACACTTGAACTCTTCGGCTTCTCCCTTCTCCACTGGCGGTTGAGCAAGGGAGCCTCGTTGGAAATGACGCTTGGCGGATCTTGGGACTCTTCTCAAGGACTCTGTTGCCAGCAACGTGATGGTGGGTGATGGAGGGACCGTGCGAAGCGACGCCGCAAGCCAACGTGGACTGCGGTGTTCACAGCAAGCGTTAACAATTGCAAAATTTCCAGTGATCCCTAGTAGAACACAATAGTGTTCTATTAGGTAAGATGTGGTATGAATAAGTCAGACAAGATGGGAGCCAACACCTGAACTCTGAGATCTGGCAGTGGGTCCAGCCTCCCACGCTGAGAACAGCTGGGGAAGGATCCAAAGTCATTTTTCCCTAAAATACCACTGGCGCTCCCTCCGACAGAAAAGCCCAACTTTATGACTGGAAAGTAGACAGGGGGGGGGCAAATGCATTAGATGCGATGATTAACTTGTTTTAGTGCTTTGATTTTTTTATTCTGGCCGGTGCGGGTGTGGATTTTTCCCCCCTCCCCCCAAAATCTTATTTTAAAAAGGGATTTCTACTATGTGGCCTTGTGGAGTTCTACCCTGGAGTGCTAACCTTTTGATTTATGAAATGCAGACAAAAGAAGACGGCAAAACGCTGAAACCCAAACTCAGAGAACCCAGAACTTTATAAAGACGATTTCTCCCTATCGTGAAAAAGGAAACATTTCAGAAAATCTGACGTTCACAGATCAGGAAAAAAAACATCCTTGTGCAGTTTGGTGAAGATTATAAACTCACGTGTGTGTATGTATGTGTGTGTGTGTGTGTATTTATATATGCATATATAGAGAGATATGCACATGTATGTATATACATTTACCTGTGTGTTTTTGGGGAAGCTTTTTTTGGGAACAATTATTTTCAGGGAACCTTCCATTCCCTCCCGTCTCCCTAGAGTTTGGGGAGGGAGCCGGGGGGAGCCAGAAGGATGCCGAAGACGTAAAAAAGTCCCAACAGGAGGTTGAGCTTGGCTGTCCTTTGCGGGATCTTGAGAAAACTTTGGCTCCGGAACTGCCTCTCCAGGGAAAAGGCCATGGGGAGGGTGAGGAGAGGCAGAGCCATACTGATGGTGTAGCGCGTGGCCAGGACGCAGAAGATGAGGTACGGCAGGAACAGCAAGCTGTTGTAGAGGACGTACGAGAGCGTGGGGCCGATGAGAATGGCCAGGGTGACTATGCCGGCCTGCCGGTCGGACTCCATGTCCCGGGTGTTGTTGCTGTGCAGGATGGCCTCTGTGCTGAGGGCCAGGGGCACGGCGTAGAGCAAGGGCGAGATGGACAGGTAGCCCACCTGGAGGGCATAGGCGAACATCACAGCCAGGGGCCCAAAGGTGATCAGGATGACCAGGTCGCCGAGGGCGACGTACTTAAATCCGATGCCTGTAGCAACAACAAGGAGGGGAAGTTAAATGCATGCAGCAGAGAAGGGACCTGAGGACCTTGGTGGTTTTTTTGCAGCGTTTCATTACCCAACTAGGTAATGTCATCAGGGCTAGAAGGAAGTGGGGGTTGTGGAGAGGAGGAGGAGGAAGAGGAAGAGGAGGAGGAGGAGGAAGAGGAAGAGGAAGAGGAAGAGGAAGAAGAAGAGGAAGAGGAAGAGGAAGAGGAAGAGGAAGAGGAAGAAGAAGAGGAAGAAGAAGAAGAAGAAGAAGAAGAAGAAGAAGAAGAAGAAGAAGAAGAAGAAGAAGAAGAAGAAGAAGAAGAAGAAGAAGAAGAAGAAGAAGAAGAAGAAGAAGAAGAAGAAGAAGAAGAAGAAGAAGAAGAAGAAGAAGAAGAAGAAG